AAAAAAAAAAAAAAAAAAGCTCCTTTGTTGGAGGAAGGGGGAGAGTATCCACAGGTACCTTTGTTTAGATAATGCTCTATTTTTCTTTCTCAAAGTTTACTTTTCTGAGGCATAACTTAAATACAGTCATGTCCACTCATCTTAAATGCACAGCTCAGTGCATTTGAACTCATGTGTCACTGAAAGACACAGAACACTGTCAGCACTCCATGATAACCCCACCTAAAGCAGCCGTGCTCCCAATACCCCATCAAACAGCCTTGTCAGTTCCTCAACTGCACATCAATGAAACTGAATCATGTGTCCTTTGCTGTTTCTGGTTTATTTTGTTCCACATAAAGTTTGGAAATGAAGTTAGGTTGTTGGATTTTACCAAGAATTCTCGTTTATTGCTGCGTGTGGAGATAAAATGCACACATAATGCTGTGTCTGGTCAGAATAGACCATGTTCATTTATTCTTTTCCCTGTTGGTGGACATTTGGGCTGTTTTCTAGTTTCGAGCTGTTATGAATAAAGTCCTTTGGACGTTGTTGGAGGTGTCTTTGGTAGACACAGGCATCTTTCTTTTTTCTTTTTTCTTTTTTTTTTGAGATGGAGTCTTGCTTTGTCAGCCAAGCTGGAGTGCAATGGCGCAGTCTCGGCTCACTGCAACCTCCGCTTCCTGGGTTCCAGCGATTCTTCTGCCTCGGCCTCCCTAGTAGCTGGGATTATGAGCTAATTTTTTATATTTTTGGTAGAGACGGGGTTTCACCATGTTGGCCAGGGTAGTCTCGACCTCCTGATCTCAAGTGATCTGCCTGCCTTGGCTTTCCAAAGTGCTGGGATTATAGGCAAGAGCCACTACACCTGGCTGGCATCTTTCTTTTTTAAAGTGACCTGAATAGCACACACAGACTGTCTAGAAGATCCTCTCAGCTGCAGATTTTGGGAGTGAGGGGAGGAAGACCCCTGAAGAATTCTGTACACCAAGGTGGGCCAGACACACAGGCAGGCCCTGGCCTGCCACTAAGGGTTCACACCAAGGGGCCCAGACCTTCTGATCTGCTCCAAATGTGCCCATCCCCCTGGGAAGGCCAGCCGCGGGCTGGGGACTGTGAGAGTACACTATCCTTACATGAAAGAGGCTAGAAATGGAATTCTAGGAAATGCAATCTATGGGGAGCCATGCTGTGCTATGTTATATACACTGTTTATACAGCACTCAAGAAAACTGCAAGGTAGCTACTACCCTCATTCCGCAGCTGAGGGAGAAGGTGTGGAGAAGAGAGCCCTGCCCGGGTCAGGGCCATCATTGTTACCATCACAACAGCGTGTCTGGGCCCACGTCAAGTGCTCAACAGACATCTGCTGAACAAAGGCTGAGTGAATGGCGGCCTGGATGGGAAGCCAGGCTGCCTGGCCCCAGGTCTACACTGTGATTCAGCCATGGGCTCTCAGGCCTGGTGTCACTGATGTGCTCAATTTCAGAGCTCCGATCCCTGAAAATTCAAGTTTTCTTCTCTCAAGGACCCCATAAAAATGCAGACAACATGCTTCACCCAGCACAAGCCCACAGGAGGGCCACAGCAGCTGGGTGGCCTCACACCACATCTGCACAGTGTCCACGTGCAGCAGCTCCTTACAGGGCTGTGTGGACCGCGCCAAGCCTGAGGCTGCCCTGAACCTGCCGCTGACACTCTCACCCTAGCAAATGCCAGACCAAAGCATGTTCATTAACAAGCAAAGGGGAGAGGAGCTCACAGAACAAGGGGAGTTCCACTCACCCGGCTTCCTATGAATCCTGGGAACCCTGTAATTCCAGGGGGGCCAGCCACCCCAGGGAATCCTGGCAAACCAGGGATGCCCGGGGCTCCGATGTCTCCCTTGACTCCTTTGATGTGGCCGGGCCTCCCAGGCAGCCCAGGGATTCCTGACAGTCCTGGGATGCCTGGCATTCCTTGGATACCTGCAGGAAGACCCTAGTGTGTAACACTCTGGTGAGGACGCAGCACCTGCCCTCCCGAAGTTTTCAATGTTGCAGCCTGGATGCATTTTGCTATCCTAAGTGCTGCAAATCTTAAGATGGGAAAGCGAGGTTACTCAGGCATCAGACAACAACCCTGCACGGGCTGTGGACAAACGGGCTGCCCAGAGACGAAAAGCACGAAGAAAGCCAGGTGTAGGGCACGGGCGTCTCTGGGGAGGGAGAGCAGCAGGAGCTGGGGCAGGCTGGGGCAGCAGGGACTAGGGAGCCCCTGGCTGCAGGTCAGAAGACTCACCTTTGGCGCCCAGGTACCCTTTCAGTCCCATAGGCCCTTCGTCTCCTTTCTCTCCTTTAATGTCTTTCATTCCGGGCAGGATGATGGGAGGTGGTCCTGGGGGCCCAGGGTCCCCTCGGCTGCCTGGAAGGGAAGAGAGTGCTGTCATTTTCTGGGGGCTCCAGACCACGCAGGAGAACACAGGTGGAGACCTGGTCCCTGAGGCACGGGGGCTGCGCGTCTCCCGCAAGCGGGGAAGCCTCGGAGAGAGACCAGGGGCGCCGGAGAAGCCTCTCCTGTGTCCATCGGAGCAGTCGGAGTTGGGGCTGGCTCCAGGGTCCTGGGCCTGGGGCCGGAGTCACGGAGCACACAGCACCACAGTGGGTGGATGTGCCTGCCAGCGACGCACTGAGCACACAGCACCACAGTGGGTGGATGTGCCTGCCAGCGACGCACTG